TAATAAACAAAAATGTTGTTGAGAAGCAAAATAGAAAATATGAAATGAAAAAGTTGCAATAATTAAAGCGTTATCTGTTTTAATTTTCACTTACCGCTTCCACATGGGCAAGGCATTTTGTTGTTTTAATTTGTTTATACTTTTTCTACACTTGAAAAAAAATTGAATCTTTTAGCTAATATCAGCTAGTCACTCTATTTTGTTAATCACTCAAGTTTAGCTTTGTAAACGCCAAATGTTGTTACACTGATCGACTCGTTGTTGCTCCTCTCGGTTTTATACACATCAAAACTCTCGAATCGGGGCTCGTCTGTAGGAGTTACGAGGTGCCGTGTGCAAAAGCTGGCCCGAAGTCTGTAGCTGAAGTGCGGTGCGCAATATGTTCGCCTACAGTGCGGGGTATGTACGTGTGTATGTATGTACATTAGTTCATACATAACTGTATGTGTATGTGGATGGATTACGGGTATGAAGCTTTTGGTTTGGCCGCGTGGTGTGCACAAGTAGGAGCGTAATTGTATCAATTGAACATTGTATGTATGCGTTCCCAGTAGGAATTTTTGGCAATTAATTCGTAATTTGTAATATTCATGTGTTATAAATATAATAATTAATTATTATTGTAAATTGAATACTTAGTACATGCCATAAACATATCTCAATGAATGAAAGTTATTGTTAAGCTGGGAATGGCTCCTGACATAAAAATATATTATAAATATTTGACTTATAAGCCAGTATAAACAGTTTTTTGGCCATAAAGTACGGATTGGGATATTTAAATAAATTCTCCCAGCAATTTTAACTGTGGTTCCACAGTAAATTGAGTATGACTTTGTTAGTATTAAAATAATTTTATAAACAATTTATAGCTAAATTTTGGGTATACAAGCATCTATTATATATAGATTAAGATTTTTGGATTATGTTTTAGCTATCACTGGTCACAGATACACCTTCGCATGTCGAGACCCTCTTGAAAAAGGTGGTTTAGTTGATTGGCTCAATAGCCGCCATTTTGTATCAAAATGTGAATATGAATTTTTTTTGTTTCACTTGATTTTCTAATTTTCTGTGTTCTGAAAATATAGGTATAATGAAGTCAACTTCGCATTGTTCTTCATCAGTTATATAGTTCCTACTGGGTCAGTGCACTTCAGGTATAACACAAATACATTCATATTTATGTACAATTGCATATCTTCATATATGTTTGTAAAGATCGTAATGAGGGCACACTTTGGGTCAAGCCGTGTGAAAAGCCCTCAGAAAATCTTTGGCACACGACACCAATAATTTTCATAGCACTTAACCAACGATCTAGTTTTGCGCGCAACTCTAACAAAATATATATACTTATGTACATACATATAGGTAGCCTTTGGACAATAATCCTATAATTGCTTTTTATTACGTCTGCTTTCAAAGTGTTAAACCTACAATAACAATAAAAACATTCTCAAATTTCTAATTTCAAAGAAATAAGAAAGAAGCAAAATATTAATACAACATGCCTTGCCCATGTGGAACCGGTAAGTGTACTCAATCTAAATACATATAAATTCATACATATTTAGGTCCCTTAATAGTTCTTTAAGGCTACTTTTTATGTAAAAAAAAACATTTTATCTGAAAATTGCACGTTTTAGTTAATAATTATTTTTGATTGGTAGGTTGTCAATGTGGCACTCAGCCTAAGAGCGGTAATTGTGGCTGCGGTGGATGGTGTAACAGAAAAGCGCGTTAAAAAGCAAATAATAAACAAAAATGTTGTTGAAAAGCAAATTAGAAAATGTGAAATGAAAAAGTTGCAATAATTAAAGCGTTATCTGTTTTAATGTTCACTTACCGCTTCCACATGGGCAAGGCATTCTTGTTGAATATTGTTTATACTTTTTCTACACTTGAAAAAAAATTTGAATCTTTTAGCTAATATCAGCTAGTCACTCTATTTTGTTAATCACTCAAGTTTAGCTTTGTAAACGCCAAATGTTGTTACACTGATCGACTCGTTGTTGCTCCTCTCGGTATTACACATCAAAGCTCTCGAATCGGGGCTCGTCTGTAGGAGTTACGAGGTGCCGTGTGCAAAATATAGCCCGAAGTCTGTAGCTGAAGTGCGGTGCGCAATATGTGCGCCTACAGTGCGGGGTTTGTACGTGTGTATGTATGTTACATT